ATTCCTTCATTCTGGGGGTCAATTTTTTTGTCTTAACAATAAGAGAAAAGTAACTAAGACAGATGCTGAGTACACCCTGTTTACAGATGGAAGTGTCTCTGCTAGGAATAGTCCTACACCAGATATGCTCTGCTCACCTTAGACAAAGTTACTTGGGCTGAAGCTCTCCCGTAAGGGTGATCTGCCCAACGAACTGAACCATGGCCCTCAACTGATATGAAAATTCTTCTGCTTTCTGCTACTGTCTGAAAATCCACCCAAGTGACAAAGCAACTGTTGAAAGAGTATCCTGGGACAAAGGAACAAAGATAGAAGTCCTAGTGGACATTCCTCTTAAAACTGTTGGGGGCTGGGAGACAGCTCAGAAGCTTAAGTGCCTGCCTGGCAAGCACAGGGTCCTGAGTTGGATCCCTGATTAACCTCCCCCCTGCAAAAAAGAAAAAGAAAAGAAAACCTGTGTTAGTAATAATAATAATTTTAAAAATTCACAAAAACAAGAACAAGCCACTGAGGGACCCAGTCCCTGGTGGACACTCCTGGATGGAAAAACTGTTGTCCCACAAAGATAGTTTCAAAACACCACAATCTAACTGATGAAGAAGAAATAGCTATTTAAAAAGAAAAGATGGACTCTCTTGTTATGCTCCATGCCTGACCAGCATCTGCTCTACTGTCCACCAGTAATGCCAAACCTGTACTTGATATAAAACATCCCGGAGGCCTCACCCCTTCCAGGTGTCTGATTGACTGAAACATCACCCTTTAACATCCTTGCAGTATGCCTTATAAGAGCTACAGATATATATTGGCGCTTATATGCACCTACTCAGGCTGGCCTCAGGCATTCTCTACCTGAACTGAGAAGACAAGAATTTGTAGAGTCATGCTGTGAGAAATCATCTCTAGATAAGGACTACACTTGGCCATTGTCAGTGACAGCAGGCTTACATTTGTAGTAGAGATAACTCAAATTGGTGGAAGGATTAAAGATTAAACAAAAATCACATATAACATATGTCACGAAGCTCTAAAAAAGTTTAAAAAATAAAAACATCTACAAATTTCAGAATCTAGCCTTAGAGCTACCATTTCCGATCTAAGAGATCCCATCCAGATGATTTCTGGAGATTTTTACCTGGACCAGACAGCTCCTCTGAAGTACACTCTGAGAGACAACACACTCAAAGCCCTCGCCTTGATTTCTGTGCCTTCTCAGGCTGCTTAGTCCACTCCTTGCTTCCATTTCTGCTTGCATATGTATTTGATATTATATTGTCCAACTTCATTTTAGCTCCTGCTCTCATGCTATCTATGACTCTTATGTTAGCCCTACGGATGAAAGAGAATAGCCCAAAGAGAATAGAAGACAACCAGTAAAGTCCTTCCCCCTCATTCTACAGTTGATCAAGATTTGATGAGCATCCAAGGCACACTGGACACTCTTAGAACAGATTAACTTCCTCACTCCATTGTCAGAATAATAGTAAATCATGGCCAGTAAGGGAAAACATATTTCTTCCTAAAAGAAGAATGCTGCTACTATGCCAAAAATTGGGAGCAATAATGGAAACAACCCACAGACTCCTGGCAGGAAAACTTAACAGTCTGCAGATCTTGGCTAGGGCCCATTCTGGGACCACTGACAGCCCTAATGTCATTGTTCCCAGTTGGGCCTTATCTCAGATCATATGTAACATGCCCAGCAAATAGTTGCTAGGGAAACTAAAAGAGGGGAAAATGTGGCAGAAAATGGCCCACCCTGTTGCCCAGGTAACCACCAGTTTACTCTGGTTCCTGTTACAATTCCTGTTACTTCTATTTCCCAGAAACATCTCAGCCCTGTGATGTATAGCTGGTCACTGTGACGCACACTGCACATACCTATTCCCAACTGACGAGCCATTGCCTCCGTATGTCCCTTTGCAGCCCCATAAAACCTCCCTCCTTGAGCCTTCAGGGCCTGATATTTTGGGAATAAATCCATATTAGAGTCTGTTGACATAAATAAATATGCCTCCACATCCTGAGTGACATTTCTACATGCAAAAGGGCAGGCATTCTCTCTCTAGAGTAGGCATAAAGTTTAAATTACCTGATTTCTTTTGTTAGTAAAAGCGAGTCAACTCCAGTCTGTTTTGAAGAATCTACTCCCAGATTTTATACTTTCCCCCTCACTGTGCCTGAAGAGTAATTGTGCAAACACAGAGTAAGAGCTCAGTGTGAGAAATTGTTTTGAAATCATTGAGGTACTCAGGGATATTTAAAGATAGGGATATTCTCATATGTTCTTCAACTGAGAAGAAAGACATTTGCTCTTTCGTTAGATCTGAGGGAGGCATGGGAAATAAAGAGCACTTGGAGGGTCAGATATGTCCCCCAAATTAAAATAATTTATGCCTAACCAGAGTCTCCCTCTATGTTTACTATTTACCAAACATTTTGTCTAAGTGCTATACATAGTTCTGGGTACTTCATAGTTATCAAATAGGTTCTTGCCATACAAAGCCATAAGGTTAGGAAATGTGGCAATACATCCTCTGTGGATGGAAAATCAGGCCACAAGAAGATTTAGTGCTGCAGACACTTGTGACCAGCCCCTCTTGCCTTGCAGATCCCTCTCCCAAGAGATGGCACTGTGTTCCCCCACTGTCAGCTGCTGCAGCCAGGCTGCCTTAGCTGCCCTCTCACAGTGCCTGAGCTATGAGGCACCTAAGAACTAACACCAGGGCACCTATGAAGTAGCCAACAAGAACACTCTTCTCTGCTACCTCTTGCCAATATGTTGTACTGTCTTAAGTTTGTGTTCATTTTTCTTATGTTCATATTTTATCTTTCTAAGTAAGGCATAAGTTTCCAGAGCTAGAGCTTTGCACACCACCTCATCTTCACTTACCTCTGTGTGGTGAGTGGTTGATGTCTGGTGCCTGCTTGGTCACTTTCCAAAGGTGCCAGGAGTCTGTCTCTGTCCCTCCTGCTTAAAAACTGGGGGGTAGGAAAATACTGAAAATCATAAGAACATAATCTTGGATTGGTCTAGGGGTTTAAAGATGTTTCAAGCTTATTACATTTATTGTCCATTTATTTGTATTATTTTTCTATTCCACTATGTGATTTGTTTTGGTTATTGTTATCAAAGAAAACCCTGCTTCACAAGGACAGGATGCTGAAAATGGGAGTAAGCTTTTTAGTGCTTTTGTGGAAACCTCTGGATATCACTACCTCACATTTAGTACTGACCATATGGAGATTTGAAATTGTCTCAAGCATATTTTTAAGGCCACCTTGTGACCTCATGCCATTGATTCACCAGGCTTATGGGTCATGGATTCATTCTTTCCCACTTCTGAAGTCTTTTGTGATTGGGAAGAATGTTCAAACTCTTCTGAAATCTGAGATAAATGATCATGGTGGGAGAAGGGCATGGCTTTTTCTATAATCTCTGCTGTTCGAAACACATCAAAAATCCTAGTGTTCACTGGTCACCCTATAATATCAATGTGGCTTTGAATCAATTCACTTTATTTGCCACCTTGAACACAGTTGCTGCTCTTCCTTGTGGGTAAAGATGGAGTTCACTGAGCAGGTTGAATATATTATGGGAATAAGCAAGTTTTATGACCTGTTCTGTCACTGAAATGTGCTCTGAGGTGCTGTCTTAATTACATTCACATTGCTGAGACACAATACCTGACACTAACAACTTAAAGCAGGAAAGATTTATTTGGGCTTACAGTTTGTAGAGGGTTTGGCCCAGAATCATCTGGCTCCAAGATGGGGCAGCATGGCAGAGGGGCATGAACAGCCCATAACACAGCAGTATGGAACAGAGAGAGATCAAGGGGGGAGGAGGGAGAGAGACCCCTTACAGGCCACACCTCCAGTGACCCACTTCCCCCAATGAGGCTTCGCCTCCCAACATCACATTTGTAAGCTCATGAATGGACTCATCCATCCACTGTGAGTGTCACATGCTCATGATCCAGTCACCTCCCAAAGCTCCACCTCTGAGCACATGAGGCAGGGGACATCGAGATACAAGCCAAAGTGTGGTTTGTATCTCCTTGCAGTATATTTCACAAGGCACTCTGAGTCTAAGAAAAGGTGGGCCAGGTAAGATACTTGGTACAAGGCAGAACTCACACCAGACTTCTGATCTCTACAGCTGTAGGGTGATAGATTTGTTTTCTTAAGTCACTAAATTTGTGGACAACAGAAAAATGAATAGTCTCTGGATATGTAATAGTAATAGAATATTTTAGTTAAACAAAAGACTTCAAGTAGAAGTCAGAAGAAAATGAAAATGTCAAAGTTTATTTTTTGAATTAAAATAATGAAAAATACTGCATGTTTTCTTGGTAGTTACTTTTATTGAAAAAAAAAACAAAACTTTTATCCAAAACAATCAAAATACAAAACCAATACACAACATTGCACAATCATTTTACAAATGTTGGCAATTAAAGTTCAGTAGGCTAGTCTCACCGAATCCTTGTCTAAGTAGTTTTTCCATATGCAACACCCTGAAAACACAATTCCAGAGTTGGTGAACTGAATCCAAAGTCCCCTTAGTCAAGCTCACTGCAGTTTATCACCAAACCATGTCAAACTCAGGTAAAGACATTTCTACCAGTTTTTATGTCAATTGCTATTGAAAATTTCACATTCTTTCCATACACCACCAGCCTTATTCATATAGATAGGATTCAACATTATCCGCTGTCCTTCCTTATTTGTCACACAAAGTACTCTCTTCTACTCATACATAACTTCTACTGCCCCACGTTCTTTTCAGCCACCACTCTACCATACAATAATGTAATCTTCAAAGGGATGAGAAAAACAAAGGGCCACCTCCTAGAAAATGAGCATAGTAGGGATATCAAGGAACCCTGGAAGGGCTTTCTGTCATTAACACTAGCTTGTAAAAAACAATTCAGAAACTTAGAAAAAAAATCAAACCATGTGTATGTGCATGTGTGTGTGTGTGTGGGTGGGTGGGTGTGTGGGTGTGTGGGTGTGTGATTCTGCACCATTATGAACTGAACAGGAATATGTCTTGTAATGTACTCTTGTCACAACATGAAACACTGAATGCCAACAGCTTACAAATGAGTCTGCGAACATTTGGTTCTCTCTTGAGATGTAGGCTGCACAAAGGAGAGCACCTTCAGATCCTCCTCTGGGCCCCTTCGTCACACATGGCACAGACATGGTTTCTCTCTGGAGGACCACAGTCTGCCATCCTGATTAGATTTGAGCTCAAGTCACCATTTAGCAAATGCTACATGCTTTATTAATGAGTTTATGCACCTGTGAGGTCTACTTAGGACCCAGAAGTTGAAGAATAAAAGCACTCTCTTGAAAATATATCTTATCCATATATATATATATATATATCTTTTTAGAAATTATGTAAAAGCTTAACAGCTTGTGGCTTTGGTTTTTATAACTAGTTTTATCAAACAGACTTACACACAATGTTTCCCCTCAACAGTACTGATAAAATATAGGGCACCTTTTTCTTTCAAGTATTTGGGTAAAATAACATACCCTGAGAATTTGGGGTGCAAATCTACACCTTGTAAACTGTAGGATGAAACTCCTCAAGCACCACATAGGAATATGTATGCTATGGTACTTTTAAATACAGACTATTATCGAATGTGTTTCTCCATGCACATATACATACTTATCATGACAGTAATGTAGTCAACCTACTTAGGCATCAGTACTGTCCTGCAGTCCAAAGTATTATTTCAGGTAGCATGAGCATTCTAGTTCGAGCAAACAGACGTTCATTTCTGTGATATTTGAAGACAATCAAAATGCCGTAGGCCTTTTTAAGAGGCACACATGACAAAGTCAGATTGGAAATTAAGAAAAAGGAATCTGTAACACTAGCTACTTCCTAGTGAAATAATGATGATTTGAAATGCAGGTTCAATATTTGAGATTTACCATAACATTGTCAAAGGGTAACTTACAGAAGCTCACTTAGACAGTGATGAATATCTACAGACCTAGATGCTAAGTCACTATCTGCATTTGTGGGCTTCATTAAATTCTGAGGGAGATTTCAGTGAGCGTCTTTAGAGAAATACATTCTAGTGAATTGCATGCTCATCCTGGTTACTTATGTGTTCATCTTTCCAGAAAAATTCAACAGGGGCCTATTTAAACATAAACTTTTACCACCAGGTAAAAAGAGAAAACAGGTCAAGATTTTTACAGTGCGTGCTGTGGTTCTTAGACAGACTGAACTGCCCAGGTAATCCCTGAGAAGAAATCACAAAAACCAGACTCTGCTATCTTATCAGATTCGAGCTCAGGCTCAGGACATGTTTCTTTAGGAGTTTTATGTACATAAATCATAAAAGGGTAATTCAGTAGTGAAATGGACATTGTTGAGGTAATAGTTTTATGTGAGAGGGCTTCATAAACGTGCTCTATTCTGCTCTGGCTAAAAAGGGAAGAGTGTAACTACTTTGTTCAAATATCCATGCAGCCTCAAAAAATGACAAGGAGATAAGTGAGACCAAGATTTATCTCATGGCATAAATGTGTTCTTTCTCTGTGGACTGAGGTAGTAAGTGCCCTAGCAGCTTTGCATGGTTTGATGGCACAGAGAACTGTAAAATAGCAACAGCTGACACAGAACATAGAACACTATTTTAAAGTTACATTTTAAACCATTTGAACAATTTCTATATACTTGGCAACTTCCCAGATGGCTCAGCCTCTTTGCTAAAACCAGGGAATGAAAAGTTATTTCTTACCCAGTCACTATGCTAGTTTACTTCAGTGTGTAACTTTCAAGCTCGGGTCTGCTCGTGATAGATACTGATAAGTAGCTTGGGGGCCCCTAAACCCTCAGCTCTCCCACAGTCTCTGAGGAAAGTGACCACTGGGGTTTCCCGGAGTGGTCTAGGCTGTAAGCCAGGTGCACTAGTGCTAGTGCTGCCCATCAGTAATAGTTTCAAGAGTCACGTTCAGACACCTGAGATTTCATGTCTCACAGAGAGTGAAGACTGGTTCCTGTCACAGTTCCCCAGGCCAGAGAGGAAGCGACTGTGGCAAGAACTGACACATCCTGTTCACATCTTTTTACCCAGGAGAATTTACTTTGTTTTAGAAAGTGAAATCCCTATGGAGAAGGGCCTGAAAGTGAAATTGAGTATTTTTTTAAAGAGCCACACCAAATTCAATCTTATGAGTAGCATAAAATTCTGTGGCTTCAAGGAGAAATTTTAAGCAGAAACTAAGCATAGATATTCACTAAAATCAAAACAGTGCTTTTCAAAAGTTATTTGAATGCTTTAAACCAAAAAGAAAGAGATTCCCTGCACAAATTTTGGGAAAATGTTCAAGTTTTAAAGGGCTACTACTTTAGAAAGTGACCAAGAATGTTTCCATAATGTTGACTGAGTATATATAGACAAAATTATTAATCACAACAGACTAAATAGGTGTCCGTTCAACCAACTCTCCAGTATACACTGGGAACACTCTCCGACAGCCCTCAAAAGGGTTACAACTGAGGCAGCACCCAGGGTCAACAAAGAACCAGGATTTGACTCCTCACATCTTTTTTTTTTTTTTTTTTTTTTCTGGAAGAACTGGGAATTGAACTCAGGCCCTTACACTTGCCAGGCAAGCACTTATTCTACTGAGCCATCTCCCAGGCCCAACTCCTCACATCTTGCAGGCCTGCCTCCAGGGAAGCCATTCTAGGTCACTGCTGAAGAGATGATGTAGGCCAGGGTGGCCACCCCTGAGCACTACTCTCCCAACAGAGTGAGCTCCACACCCCAGAGGACCTGAGGGATGGGAGATGCAACCAGAGGAAATCAATGGAGAGGAAGATAAAACTCTACACACTCACAACAAAGGCTGGATTCTGAAGAGTCATACTTGTACCTTTTTCTGACTGAGAGTGTAATTTTAACCACTGTGTCTCCAGTATCTCAAGTCTTCCTATTTCAGGGCAACACAGTGTCCTTGCATTGTAGAAATAGGAAAAATTAAAGCAGAGCCCAAAAGTGAAAACCACTGATTTTTACAGTTACACCTGAAATCATGTGAAACCTGAATGAAGGACAGACAAAGTACAACTGAGAGAATGAGGGGATTTGGTGGGAATATGACTAAAAGAGCAGACTTGTAGTCTTTAAAGCCCCCTGATTGTGACAATTCTGCTGGCCACACTTGGTTAAGTTTCAGAACCTATAAGGCAACTAGTTATGCAAATGCCTGATTTGCTGTCCTGGTGTAAATAGAGCCTGTCTCCTTCTGTTGTATGGTTGCATGGCTGAACCATGCAGACCTTCAAGGGGTCTCCGCCTAATAGAGCAAGAATGGGGTAAGGGGTAGAAATCTAGGGCCTGCATTAAAGTATATTTTTTTAAAAATGGCTGCACAGGGAAGATATAATCAATCACTTCCTAAAACTAAAATAACAAGAGCTGGCTTAGGAGAGTTGTTCAATAAAATACATAAACTGACACACAGCTTATAAGAAGTAAAAATGAATTATACACGTGAAAGAACTTTTTCAGGTGAATTCTTATTGTGACACAACTTTCAGATTAAAAGAGAATCATCTGTATTTCTGTCTTGCTCCTACAAAAAAGAAAAATCAAAGAAAGCATTATTAGTGTAGAAGTACATCTTAATTTTAAAGAAACAAGAAAAATGTCAAAATATATTCTGAGTATTGGTTTAGTAGCATTACGAAAAATGATAAAGTTTATATTTGAAAATGTGCTTGGCAAATGTATTTCTAGCTGACCAGACTTTATACTGATTCAGCTGAAATAACTCAATCAGTTATTCTAAAATAGCATGAGCTAAATGTTTAGCTCCATTGGAATTACCCATAACAAGGATAAAATAGTATAATACATACATTTCTAAAATCAGCATGCAGAAATGATTTTTAAATTTAATGAAAACATTGAAATTTGTCTTGAATCAGTAATCTAATTAGGCGAACAAACTATACTAACAATTCTTTAGCAAATGACCATTAGCTAAATTGCATGAGATTTCACACAGTACATTTTCTTTCGAGTAAGATGAGCTAATTGGAATCTATAACTTAGCTAAACCCATTCCAAGGCAGCTCTGGCACAGTCTATCTACTTTTGTATGTTTTGGTGTGTCTCCTAGAACTTTGCCAAAGGAATTTTTAACAGCAAGAAGTTGATATTTGAGGATAATATTATGAAGACAGATACAGAGTGGACTCAAGGTGAGGGATTAAGAAGACTAGCATGTGAAAAACAACCTCCAAGGAGCATCAAATAACAGCTATCTAACCAATTGCATGCAATCCGAGTAGCAAAGCAAGGGATATTTTAATCCTGTCATCTAGAAAAAGACCTGTTAAAAACCTGTTTAAGAAAAAAGAAGTCTATGGGAGCAATGATGGTATTACAGCTCACATGCATATAGTTTATGTTTATTTCATTGTTTGTACTTTACATTGAGAAGTGAGTTTAAAGATGAAAAAAACTATTCTGTTCTACTCTGTTTAGAGACCTCTCTTTCACTAATCTTGCTTTTCTGCTTAAAGACACATGCAACAGTAGAAAAGATATGTAGAAGAAATTATAAGAAGCTGTAAGCTTAAAAATTCTTTCAAAGTGGGTCAAGTATTTCACAATAACCAGCTACATCTCATAATGAGGTGCGAAAGACTTGAACAGAGTGAAAAGACACCAAGAAGAAAGTGAGGCAGGTGGAGGAAGAGAGAGGAGAGGTGATATGGCAAGATGGGACTCTGCAGTAGAAGATGCTGATAGCTATCTGAGAAATGGAGGAGAAATCTGCCCCTCTGATCTCGGGGGTCATAGTCAGAGACAGATGGTATATAATGATACTGTCCTTTAGGATATTCATAGGACATAGTTTCTGCTTGTATTGACTGCAGAGGAATTTGTTGGAAATCTTCCAAGCCTCTCCAATTCCAAGTAAGGATAACATAGTAAGAACTGCCATGAAACCTGTCAGAGATGCCATGTGCATGTCTTGTGGTACAGGTGACCATGAAGACATGAGCAGAGATGAAGGGCAGCTGTGCTTGTCACTGAGCAGTGGCAGACGACATCGCAGGGTTTAAGATCAGGACAATGTGACAGCTCAGCAGGATACTGGAGCAGGCTGGCCTGTACCAGATGGACAGGAAAACCCCCACCCGCACCTGGCAGGCAAGGCCCTGAGTTGTGTAACCTCTGAAGGCCACACACAGGACACTAGAGCATAGTACGCAGCCAGGGGCCCTGTCCACAGATAACAGCACAGGGACCTGGCCTGAGCATATAAAGAAAGAAGAGGACTGGGAGGAGCTCTGTCCTGAGGCATCTGAACACTTGCCACATGCCAGGTCACACTTCATTTCTACAGCTCTCCTGAAAGTTGTCCCCATGCCTACCAGGGTACTAAGGTTCCAGGGGACAAGACATTCACCAAGATGAGGACTCAAAGTGTCTGAGTGTGAGTCTGGCTAGTTGGCCCCAGGGCAGTGCGCTCACACTCCAAGCAAAACCACACAGCCCCCTCAGCTAAATGCTTCACCTATGGCATTCAGGGTCTCTGCTTCTGCTCACCCCAAACCCTTGCTCCACTTTTTGTACACAGAACCACTCTATGGGCCCTGGCATTCTCAGACTGGCTTAGATTCCTCTTGGGACAAAAAGGGTTCTGACTGAGGACAGCTAATTCTTCAACCAACATAAAAATGCAAGGAGATGCTTAGTGCGTGTATGTTGGGCACTGTCAGATTCAAGATCAATGTTTTAACTCAGTCCCTTCTCTGCTTTTCTTGGTCTTTCTCTCAAATCACACATACACACACACACACACACACACACACACACACACACACACACGCCCCATAGCAGTTAACTAGCCAGGAGCTTGCTTACTTCTGAGATGGGACTTCTATTTTCCTACAAATGAAGTTAACATTAAGAAAAACAGCAGTGGAGAAGCCCCAAGGACAGGATGTGTTGTGTGAGTAATACTTCGCCATGCTGATTCACCAACAGGCAAGAGGCAAAGCTGAAATTTTTCAGTGAAGTTTGACAGCAAGAAAAGCCTGACACAAAAAGGACAGCTATGTGAAGAGGGACTGACAGCATAGGAGGAAGGCAGAGGGCTAAGCACACCAGGCCCTCAAGAGAACAGGAGAACTTGAGGCTGGGAGCTGAGGTCAATCAAGCTGAAGTGTTTGGGAAACGAGGAACCATAAGGAGGAAGAAATGCAGTTAACACAGCAGAAGTCGGGCCTGGTAAACCAGAAACCAGGAGTCCAGCTCTCAGAGCAATGGTCTTGGGAGAAAAAAAATATAAGGAATCAGAGCAGCCAAAGGATGCCCTGGTGTGGAAAGTTCAGGGATCTTCTCAGCTCCACTGCAAGAAACAAAGGTTCCTTGACTTGTCTGAGTCCCTGCTTCCTCTGGCAATCATAACATGAAGGGGCCAGACCTGGTGACCTCAAAAGTCCTCTGGGCAACCCTCCAGGACACATGGCTCCCTGAATCAAACTCTCTCTCCCACTTCAGATACTGGATGAGCTGGACCCTCCTCCAAAGGGCAGAGGTAACTTAAAAGAAAGGAGAAACACAAGAGATGTAGAAGTCACTAGAGAAGTACTCAGAAATGAACAGATAAGGCCCTAGGGAACAAAGCAGGACCATCCAAGAGGAACCAAATAGTGGCAGTTCTCTTAGCTGGGTATCCTATTTTTGAAAAGCAGAACCTCAAACATTTCTTTTGCTAGTGCTCTATCTTCCTTTTATCTTTATGCCTTGTAAATGGTACTTAGTATCAAGTCTCAAAATTTCAAAACAAAAATATGGCATCAAAGCAGGCAGGCAGGAGAGGTGAACTATCCAGGAAGGGAAAATACAGCTGTGTATCTGGAGTGACAGAAAACAAAAACATGAACAATTGCAGCAAAAAGGCATCCAAGTCCCAACAAAATAAAGTGGGGACATTTGCAATGGGTTGGGGTGTGACTGGCATGGAGTGTGCTGCAGACAGTCACCTCTGTGACCATATGGCCAGGTGGGGCCAGCCATGTGCAGTTACCACAATGGGCAGTAAGAAGATAAACAGCAGTAGTGCACGAGATGAATAAGTTCCCTGTCAGATGGGCTGCAGTCTGCAAGGCTGAGTAAGTAATGGGACACTGACCAAAGGTGAAGAGAAGCAGAAGAGCCCACTTGTAAAAGAAAAAAGAAACAAAAAAACAAGCATTCACACTAGAGCAACCCGAAAAGGGAATGGCAGTGGGTTACACTCAAAATATATACTGGGAAGAGAACATGAAAACTCCCTCATGCCTTATGGTGCTATAAATAGGCAAGGAAATGCTTGCTCTCTGGGCTGGAAGGAACCTAAAGGTTACAGCAGCCCTCATACCCTGGTGACCTTATGGGATCAGCCTCTTCCTACCAGAGCTGGAGCCAGGGCAGATGTGGGAGTATGTTCCCTGAATGAAGGAGGAAATTAGCAATTTCTCTTAAATATGCATTTTACACACATACACAAAGTGTTCACTACACTGCCCTGCCCACCTCTGCTGCCTCACCCCGCCCAGGACACCAAGGGTGGCTCCACAGGGACCTCAGCAAAGCCATCTTCCGAAGTCCTTGTAGTTCTCTGTGGAGTACTGTGATTGAATCAGACCTTAGTGTAACTCTGCAGTAAAACTGAGACCAAAAATCCCTATGCCAGGAAAATCCCTGCAGCAAGGCTGATTGCAGAGGAAATGTGAACTGAAGCCACCTTTTAAGCTTCTTTTAAGATTGTCCTAAGAAGCACCCATAGGCGTTTTGAAATACTTGAATCATACTTCAAAAACTTATCATACAGAAAAGAACTTCATATATTTTTTCCTAAACTATCTGACTTTTTTGGGAAAATGAAGTTTCAGGAGGCTAAGTCTTAAAAATAATTTAATTTAATTCATATCTGAACTTAGCTAGTAAGTTTTTTCTTTTTTAACATGGACTCAAAAGCTAAATTCAAGCTCCATATGAGACTATGCAAATCAAGAAGCCAGGACCTGCCTTTTATCCTGAAGACTGTTTACTAAAAAGCAAGTTTGCACTTCCCTAAAGGGAAACTTCAAAGATCACTGTCAAGACTCAATCCCCCAAAACTCTGACTTACACCTGCACACCTAATTCTTCAGGTCCAGTGGCGGAAAGACGGCTGAGCACACAAGTGTGTCATGGCAAGTGTCACCTCCTCTGCACCTGTCCTGTCTTCCCATGCCCCAGATGTACATACCACCTGTCCAGGAGGTTAGAATCCTTTGGATTATAGTCTACTCTTTTTCTTTGGCAAAACTAATCTTCATCTCTGGTTCCCATCCCCATGAATACAGAATATTTTTTATTTTTTACACCAAACAAATATGCATCACATGTCCTTAACCTCCCACTTCCTCCTTATTTATGATTATCACACAGTGCATGTGTGCCTGTTGCAGACTCTTGGAGAGGAGCAATTTGATTATCAGTTTCTGGATTGCAACTAAAATGAGATTTGTACTTGCACTTGAATTCTTAGAAAAGTCCCAAGGAAATATGAACAGTTTCTCAAATTGTCTTATAGTTCAATAAATGTGATGATGTGTAAATAAATTAAGTGTCCTTGGTTTAAAATACACTACGCTGGCATCTGACATTCAGACATGGCCAAGGGAGAGACATCTTGAGACACATGAATGCTACTTTGTCATGCGAGTAATTCCAGTGATCCTAATTCCTAGTGTAAGGCTGTTTCATTGTACAAAGCAGTAATGTTCTGTGCCTTTTCAGCAAAATATGGGAACAGAAAAAAATTATCTCTAGTTTAGAAATGCAAGTAGGATCTCTCTTGTCTCCACCTTCTTTTTCCATTCAGCATGACTTCAGAGGCGCAGGAGTCCCAGAAGCATGTATGGTCTCAACCTTGCACACTCTGAAGAGCATGGCAGTACAAGGGGCAAGTTCATCCTCACAGCTATGACGCATGCTTGCTGCTGTCTGAAGATCTTTGCCTTTCTCCTGAGAAACCTGGCTCAGACTGTTAGAGTGCATGTTAACCTAAGCATCTGGAAGCTCTCTGGTCTTGTTTTATCGCAGAGAACTTACTACAGGAATTCTCTTCTAAAGAGAGATCATCAAGATATACAAACGAGGGCCTTCCAGGATGATGCAGAAGAACTGGACTCAGTTGCAGCAGCCCTAGACCAGAGGGTCACCCTATCCTAGAGCAACTGCATTCCCAATTGCCCTCAGTGAGAGCAAGCTGTGTGCATGCCTGTGTGTACATATGTGCATGTGTGCGTCTTTATGAGTGTGAGATAGAGTAAAGAGCTTGGACTTGCCTAAGGAAAATCACCAGAAAACAAGATACAATCCTTCGTATAAGGCATTTGCAGCAGGAGACAAGGAGGGAGAAGCGAAGCATTTCTGCCGATTTTGGAAAGACTTCCAAACAAGAAAGCTGTACTCTGCCCCTCTTGCTTCCTTGGGCAGTGGGCATGCCACAGTGTTACCTGTGATCTGGGGCTCTGGGCCCTGATGCTACCTCCACAAACAGACCCAACTTCCTCCTCCTTCTGCCAACGTTTCCCAAATGCCTCTGGAGCAAGTGGAAAGTTCTCTTCCTTCTTCCCTTCTCTGGGAGAAAGATTGGACAATCTGCAAGGGCCAAGGGGAAAGCCTGGCCTGGCACTGTGGGGTGGATGAAGTAGTTACATGCCATAAACATCAGCTCCTTCACAAATTGGCTTTTGCTCCATTCTTCTGAAATGTCTGACTCTAGAGGCAGCCTCTTCTGCCTTGAATGTCTCGCTGCTAGCAAACCTGCGTTGTTCCTTCTCTCAAGCCCAATCCTGGGGGTAAAACACTCACCAGCAGCTGCCCAGCCGCGCCGGTGCTCCGGTCATCTGTGCTCCACTACGAAGCTCATGGTGGTGCCGTCGAAGGAGGGTGGGGCGACGAGCCGCGGCCCTAGGGGCTGAGAGGTGATGCTGATGACGGGCTTGGGGTGCAGCTGAGTGAAGCCCTTGGCCCCCACGAGCTGCGCTGTGGACGAAGGGGCCGAGGAGGATGGAGAAGCCGGGGTCTGGCCGGCTGCCACAAAGTAGGGCACTTCAGAGAAGGCCACCGCGGCCGCTGCCTCTTTGCTGGGCGGCTCTGCCGCAAGGGCGAGTTCGCCGCTCCCCGGCGCGTGAGCGATGGGCGTGGGGTGCAGAGCGCCGGTGGGAAGTACGGTGGGAAGGAAGCCGGGGTAGATCATGTAGGTGGGCCCATAGGCCCCGGGACTCAGCGCCAGGGGTGGCACCGGCAGCGACATGGGCGCCACGGCCTGCTGCTGCGAGGTCATTGGCACATCCACGTACTGCCCGGTCTCAGGATCAAAGAGCCGGCGCGTGGCAGGCTGCAGTGGCGTGTCCACTAGGTAGTACTGGCCGGTGCTCACGTCCAACAGCATCTTCCGCTGCGTCTGCGGTGCTGTTGGCTGCGGGAAGGGGTCTGCAGGGACCCCAGTAGGAACGCCGGCAGGTCCTGAGGGGCCAGGCAGGCCAGGAGGGGAGAAGCAGAGCACTTGCGGCTGCGTGCCTAGTGGGAAGGGTGGTGGCTGAGGATACACTGCCGTGGGCGCGCGCTCTGGGCTGCGCGGGCCCGTGGGGGCGGCCGCGGCCTCCCGGGGACGCTCTGGCTTGGTACGCCAGGCAGGGCGTCCGGTCCCACTGACCAGGGCGCCCTTGGGGCTCCCAGGGGCCTGGCTGCGGGCGCTCAGGGGGGGCAGGCTGCAGAGGGAGGGCGCGGAGGACCCCGGTGGCTCGGCTCGCAGGGGCACAGCCAGGTAGTTATCCCCATCGCCAGTACCCTTCTCCGGCGCAGAGCCGCCCTTCCGGGAGGCTGCCTCGTCAGCGGGCGCCTGGGTAGTGGAAGGTTTGGGGGACCGGGTACCCTGCGGCTTGTTGCTGTCCGCGGAGGACCCCTGCGGAAACTTGCCAGCGATGCCCCCAGTGGCGCTCACGGTGGACACCTGTCGGCCTCCAGGCAACGGAGCGAGAGGCTGCGCGCGCTCGGCTCCTCCGGAGACGTATAAGGACCGCGGCCGCTCTCGAGCCAGGTTCTCAAAGGCGGCGGCCCGCGCGGACACGCTGTCGGCTCCGGGATTGGAGTTCCTGCGCCGCAGGGTTCGGTTTACTTGACTGCGCGCCTCCGCTTCGCCAGAGGGCCTGTTCGACCTTCCGGGGTCCCCCTCGCGCCGCGCGGCTGCCGCGTCTCTCTCCTCACTGGCGACGAGTGGCAGCACGTGGCTGTCGGCCATCCCAGGCAGGGGGTCACTCCTGCGCTTCCACGCGCTCGCGCCCAGGCTGTACCGCTCCTCCATGGACCTCACCGCAGCAGTCAGCTTTTCCAAGGCACCTCGTGCTGGGGCCGAGCCCCTGCGCTCCTCCCGCGCGTCCTCTTCGCGGGGCCGCTCAGGGGTCCTGCGAGCCGAGGCCTTGGTGACGATCTTGAGCACTGGCAGGTAGGAGCCCTGCTCTGGCTTGTTGGGCGCGATGGTGGCCACAGGTAGCCTGCCTGAGGCGCGGTGCACCAGGACGGTGCCCTCAGGGGAAGTCGCGCCCGCCGCTCCACCACACGCCGTGCCCTGCCCTGGCGCTCGGCCCGCGCTATCGTCCTTGAGGTTCGCCACGGCCTGGCATGTAATCACCACGGGTGACAGCGACCTGTGCGGCCGGGGCGCCGCCAGCGCCTGCTCTGGTGTAACGCTGCCTTTGTCGCCGCTGTCACCAGACCCTTTGATGAGCTTCCTCACGTCTCTAACCTGATGGAGCGGGCCCTGGGCCTTGGACTTGTCCCTGACGTCTCGCACCTGGAACTGCGGAACCTTGTCCAGACCATCACCGCGAAACGACCTGGGCGGTGCTCTGCCTCCTTCGTCGCCTGTCTTGGCGGGGTTGGGGGCGCCGCTCGCCAGCCGCGGTGTGAGCAGCTGCGCTATACTGAAGTCCGCGCCCGGCTGCCGCACGCTGCCCAGCCGGATCTTAATCTCTGGTGCCCGAGCCCGGGCAGCGGCAGGAGGCGCCTGCGCGGCCGCGTGCTTAGTAGCCTGCTTTCCGGGCGGCCTGTCCCTGGGTGCCTGCTGAATGCCGGGCACGAAGAGGCGAGACATGAGGGTGGCCTTGCCGGCTGAGATCTCCCCGAGGTCCGCCCTCCAGTCCCCTGCAGCGCGCGGCCCGGGCCTCCCGCCTGCGTTCACCTCCTCCTCCGGCGCGGAGGGGTCTTGGTCTCCCCAAGAGCGGAACGCGCTGTTCCGGCTGCGCAGCAGGGCGCCCTGAGAGCCGCTGTCTGACGGTACCCTCCCAGCCTCTCGGGGTACGCGGGCCTGGAACACCGGGGATCGAGTCCCACCGCCTGAGACCTCGGAGCCTGCCTCGGATACTCGTGAGCTCTGTCGCTGCAGGCCACGCTTACGATCAGGCCCCGGCCCGGCCTCAGGCTCAGAGGACGTGTCGCCGACCTCACCGCGCTCCATGCGGAACTCATGCTCGCGCCGCATCTTCTTGGAAATGACATTCTTGAGCAGACTGGACGCAAACGTCGACTTGGGATGCAAGCTGTCGGAGCGGGGGCCGGCGGTGTTCCGGGTGGCGGTAGTGTTGCTCTCACTGCACAAGCCGAGAGGCTCCAGCACTGTAACCACGCGCGGCCCGCCCTGGAAACACAGCGGCGTCTCCACGTGCTTGATCTCCCCCTCCACCTTGCTGACCACGAACTCCAGCGCCTTGCTCTGCGACCTCCGGGCCTGCGCGCGTGGCCGCTCGGCGCCATCCTGCCTCAGCCTCGCCGCCGCGCCCGCAGCACTACCTCGGAGCAGGCTCTGCTCCACGCGCGCACCGACACCGCCGCATTTCAGGTCCAAGAAAGTCGACCAGCGCCCAAAGCCGGCTTCGGAGAGCGCTGCCGAGGACTCGCGCGAGCTGATGCGCAGCGCCTCGAAGCAGGGGTAGGCTAAGCTGCGGAAGGCGCGCGCAGTGAGGCTGCGCACCTCCTGGTCCGCGTCGTCCAGCTCGCTTACTGCACTCGAGGCCCCGCTGGAGCGATCAGCCGGTTCCCGGGCGCGCACCGCCCCGCCGCGGGGCTGCAGGCGGGCGGCGGCCGCGGGGACGCGGAGGCTCATGGCGCCCGCACGCCCGGCGGCGCGCGCGGGGCTCTGCTGGGCGCGCCCCGGGGCTTGCTCCTTTATAGCTCTCGCGCGCCCAGGGTCGCTGCTGGCCGGGCTGGGAGAGCGCGGAGCCGCTGGGCTGGGCGGGGTGCTGAGGTAACAGCTGTTGTCCTCGTCCTCTTCGGTGGCCGTGGTGACCTCCCCTGGGGTCTCGTCGCTGCCACCGAAGGAGGCGTAGTCCGCGAAGGAGTAGATCACGTTGTTGTCCTCGAAGTCCCAGCGGGCGGCCAGCCCCACGTCGAAGTCAGCGTCCTGCTCCACCTCGCTAGGCTGGATCCCGCGCGTGGTGATGTAGTGCGCGTCCTGGTCCCCGGGGGGGGCCCGAGCGCCCACGCCGCTCGGCCCCCCCGCGCACCCCCGCGCCCCTCCCCCGGCCGCCTCGCCATCGCTATCAAAGCTGAGGGACGAGGAGGAGGTGGCAGGGGCTCCTAGGGACGCGGGGGAGCCGCACGCCCCTGGGAGGCTGTGATCTTCTGCGTCTGCTGTTGAGGAGGAAGAAGAGGAGGAGGAAGAAGAGGTGGAGGAGGAGCGGTGCCCTGAGTCCAGGGGAGCAGGGTTGGCCCGGGCGACAGCAGGGTTGTCCTGTAGGGCCTCAGCCCCGGGGCTCCCCAGACGTGCACCTGTCTCTAGGGCGCTTGTCCGAGGCTGCGGCCCGCTGTCTCCAGAGCCGCTGGCCGGGTCTCCTGCGGTGGCCCTACTGGCGTCTTCCATCCTGAGTCCTTGCCTGGCTCTCAGTGACAGGGAGAGGCAGTGTGGAGTGACTGAACTGTCCTGGAGGGACAGTGGAGCCCCGTGGGCGGGGGCTGTGGGCACCTTTGTCTCTGCTGCCACCTCCCAGGATTTCAGCCCCGGTTTCTTGGCCAGGGCCAGCCGGAGGGACCAGGTTGCAGAGGGGCTCTGAGGCCCCAGGGGCCAGAGCTCCCTCCGAGACCACGGCCAGCGTTCTGCAGCTGAGCTGTCCTGTCCAGCAGCTGACCTGGCACCGTGTACAGCTGGAGACCCAAGTGCCGTCAGCTCCGGAAGCAGCAGCATCCGTAGATGGACCCCTGAATTCCCAGAAATGAAAAGAAAGCGTGAGCTGCTTCTCCTAAAGTATTATCCCTTTCCTGGATGGGGAGAGAGAGGGTCACGTCATTCCTGAAATATTTTTAGTGTCCATTCCCTAGCCATATCGAAACCACACTTGAGGGTAGAGGGAAGGAGGCTCTGAGAGATGGAAAGAGAAAGTTGGGGGTGGAGAATCATGTGGATACCAGTTCAAATTGACAGAACGTTCTATGTCACCTGTGGCAGAGATGTCCAGCAAGTATGTCGTTGTTTCTTGTGCGTTGTAGTATCTCTCCAAACTCCCTTAAAAGCCTCTCATTTTTTACTTTGTTCTGAAACAGAATTCAAATATATTGTGTTTCCAGTTAATTAAGAACACTCCAGAAATGCTTTTTGAAAATCTCCATTTTATATATGATAGCTTTATATTTGTGCATTCTGTTTCTCTTTGGAGAGCCAAATCAGAAGAGTTCCAGGGAGAGATAGCTCAGTAGAATAAGTGCTTGCCTGGCAAGCTCAAGGGCCTGAGTTCAATCCCCAATTCTGGAAAAAAAAAAAAAAAAAAAAAAAAGAGTTCTTATAGTAAAACTTTTCATAGAAAAAAATTCCATTTGTTTCTCTGCATAATGCTCTGGGAGCTGTAACCTGTTTGTTTCAAAATAGAAAGAATCCCCTGCAAAACCCTTACTCTAGTTACTCAGAGTATAAACAGACAGTTTTCAAAGAGCTAAAACTTAATGCTTTAAATACATGTTAAATTATAGTCACTAAAAAAAAAATCTAAGGCAATACGTACATTACTTCAAATTTCTACAATATCTAATCCATCTCAAAAACGGTTCCTTAAACTTTAAAACCATAGCAAGACAATAAACTCCCAATTAAATATAGCCTGAGCTGCAGGCTCACGATTAGGTTACGCTGGCTGCATTCCAGGCCCACAGAGAAGAACAAGGACTCTGCTTACCCTTCGTGAGTACAGTGCGGCTTGGAGGGAGGTTCAGAGAGGAAACAGGAGCCTCTGGCATGCCCATGGGAGCAGAGCCAAGGGCCCTGCTCATGGGCCCTGGGCTGCAGCATTTCAGAGGAGCCCATGGTTGTGCCGGGTCTGCCAGGCACCCACGGAGGGGGTCTATGTTGGCCACCCTCTGAGCAGTGCCTGGGCACTGTCAGAGGAGATCCACGGCCTGGCTTTGGGGCAGTGTGGCCCTCATCACCTGCCAGGCCCATCTCTGCTGCTATGCATAGTCCATGTGTCACTAATGCCGATTGAATAAAGTACTATTTTAAACATCCACATTTGCGGGAAACAAAAATAACACCATCAGCCATCCCCTTCCAACTTGAATGCCGCCCACACACAGAAAAATGTTCCTTCCTGTGCTCTGCGTGTGGGCAGGTAGGACACTGGACCCTTGGCACCAAAACATCCACCTTCTCACAGTGGAGTCTGAGAGCACACCTGCCTGTCTTCTCACAACAGTGCCTCGAAAACATGAGTGAGGAAAGATGGAGACAGCAGGAGTGAAAAGCTGAGCTCAAGGTCACGAGCACCAGAAGGAAGAGAAGCTACACAGAATCTTAGTTTCCTGGTGATAATAATTATATATATATATATGATTTAGGTAGTGCACACTGTGTGCCAGGAGCTACTTGGAGCACTTTTTAATGTGTATTTCATTTAATCTTCATAAGAACCTGATGAGTTGGGTTTGACTTCCCCATTGATTTTATAGGTGGGGAAGCTGAGGCACAGCAATGCTAGGGACTTGTGCAGCAGAATTCAAACTCAGGTATTCTGGCTCCAGAGCCAGCATCCTCACCAGGATGCTGTGCTGTCTTGTTGACCTCTGCATTCACATACCCATCAGTTAGAAGGAGAAACGCAACCACTGTGTGATCACAAATTAACTAAATTGGAGATATTTTCATATAATCAACCCATGTGCCCATTATGCACTCTGGGATTAAGGAATATGATTCTATAAATAAAATGAAATAAAATATAGTTGGCACCTTCAGGAAAGCAGAGTATTTTCAGTTCCCCATGTTAGTGTTGCTTTGAGGCTGACAGTACCTTGACCAGTAAATCTGATGGGGCCGTTGAGCTGTGAGAGGCACACACTCTCCATAGCTGAGTGGGAGGCAGAGTTTCTGCCCATCAGTCAATTACAGTCCAAGGGAGAGTTATCCAGCACGTTCCATATGCTGCTGTCTGTCACAAAAACACAGAGATCTCAGCAGAGTTCTCCCTGCAGTTGGCACACTATAAAACTAGAAGGTCAGATGCCTGGGGTGTAGATTAAGCCTTAATCACTCAATGCCCAGAGTTCGAAGGAAAGTCTTCCTTGAGAGTGTTGCCCCTCAGTGCTAGCCAGAGAAGCAAATAGAGTCCGAGTCAGTGATTCCTATAGCAGTACTCACCTCTAAATTACCCGTGTGGCTCCTTTTCTGTTCTCTATGTACATTAATTCCATTGTACGAAAAAAAAAATCTGAAGGAAGAATTTCTTCAAATAAATTTCCAAAATATTGGTTTTCGTTCAAAACACAAATTTTCTTTTAAAAAAACAGGATAAGCTGATATTTTGGATGAGGCTAGGCTATCTGTTAAAAGAAAAAAAAAAGCCACAATTGGAAAAACAATGACCAGCTTTAGGGAGGATAAAGTCAAACAATTAAGAATGCCAAACAGCTTGCCTTTTGGTATTGTCAGAGTTCTGGTCCATTTATGTTGTCCCCAGAACAGATGCTGTCAAATCTGTTGGAGCCCTTGAGCATTTTATTACTTCTCATGACTCCATTTATTTATTTATTTATTTATTTATTTATTTATTTATTTACAGATGAATTCAGTGATTGCCTACCTGACCTCAGCTCTTGAACAACTGACAGTGACTAATGTCACCAGCATTAACCTGTAGTGAGTGCCCTTGCTAGACAAGGCAAGGTACACTTGGTTGATCACTTTATATGGGAATTTAAACAGCAACTAAAGGAAATGACTCAGCATCCTTATTTTTATGTCCATAGAGAAAGTTAGTTGGCATTTCCCCCAAAGCCTTATGGGATGTATCACAGTATGTAATACTTTAAAATGATTGAAGGCATAAAGAATGAAGGCCAGGTCATCATTACTTGTAAAAGCATATGGGTACACTTAAGATCTCTAAGAGTAGAATAATATGATAAAGATGTCATTCAAAAGCAAGACCATTTTATTGAAGGTAAAACACTGGATTAGCAATGAAGAAGTTGTTAAACTTGTACTCAGACTTGGACTCAGTCTGACATTCCACAGGCATAGGGGGCTCCGAGTCTCTGGTCTGTGAGGGGTGATAGGTATTCTCTCCTTGCCTGTGTACTGTGTGAAACTTTCCATAAACATATGTACAGCCATTCACCTACTCAGTGTGAAGGAGCCCTCTGCAGCCCACTTCTTAACCTGGAGTGCGGCCAGCTACTTGTCTTTTGGCTCTAGTGGCACACATAGGAGTTACAAAAAGGCATTCAGGCTTAAGCTACCAAAGAAGGTTTAGTTACTTAGTTATTGGGCTAACCACTTCACATATTTGTGGTCACCAATCCTCTCAATCATAGTATGAAAGAGCAATTATTTTTCCCACTTTATGGATAAAATAATTGAGGCCGAGGGAAGATGTCATGTGTACCCTTTTGACACTTCATGGTCAATAGGCACAGGAGCCCTGGCTGGAGCCCAACTCAGAGGGACTCCAGGCTACATTAGAGACTAAGCAGCCAGTCTATGATGGGGAGGTCAAAGGACCATGACCATGCATGCCACTGAGGCCACTCCACAGCGTCAACCAGCTGCCTATGCCCTTGAAGTCCAAAAAAGAGAGTGAACAGAGGTGAGGTTAGTATAAAACTATCCTGTGAATAGAAAATGATGTGTGCCCGACAATGAATGAGCAGCACTGTCTTGTGCACAGAAGAGCACAGCACTGAAGAATCATGCTGTGCACACTGTTCGTGCAACCCCTAATCAGTGCCCTTAAAACTTGGAAGAGCAGGAAGGAGCAGTTCACCACCACAAATAAAACCTTGCTAGAAAACACTCTGGGCTGCACAGAAGCAAGAGGTTGCTGGGCAGTACTTTACTTTTCTCCTTGGATCAGGAATCTGTAGAGTTGTATATCAAGAAGTCTTTCTCCTCTGGCCTCCCTTCTCCACTTTCTACTTTCTGAAAGATCTCGGACATTTTCCCTTCTTTTCCCACCCCCACTCCTCTTCTTTCCTCAGCCCCTGACTTGTTATCTCAGACAGTAGTGGGTTAAGTCTGTCTTTCTCTTAATGGAGCTATGAAGACTCAGAATTTCAATCTTACTGGATAAAGAAAAATCAACCCTTCCAGGCCATCCTCAAGGTGAATTAGTAAGCAAATAGATCTTTCTCCATGTAATATTGACCATTTAAAATAACCTAACTATAAGTCTTGGTCCACCTCTCATAAAACCTCTGTATGTTCTCCTGGCCTGTGTGATGAAGAGTATACAGAGAATGTGCCAAGAACTATGGCTTATATCAAGATGTCCAGAGCGTCATGTACTCAGGCAGGGCCTCAGGAAAGGATTGGACTGTGGGGGCTTTTAGCTGGCTTGTAGTTAGGAATCAGGGTCTGGCTGAGAAGCAGGTTGGTCCCTGGGGCATGACTGGAAAGGCTTTCTCTCCCTGTCCAGCTTCTGCCTCGCTCCTTCTGAGCAGCTCTCCTTGCCTTGTCTTGGAGACAGCTGACCACAGAGACCTCTATGGAGTGTAATCCAGAATAAACCTCGTTTTCACATTGTGGGTGCCAGGCATTGTTTCCTACCCATGAGGAAAGTGACTAAAGCACCAAAGCCATCATCTTCCAAATGGCTGAGATGTTTGGTGGACATTTGAGATCTAAACAATAATAACATCTCATTAAATTTCGTATTAGTTTTTCAAGTAGGGCATATACCAAAATGAAATTATGTGCTTTTTCTGGGGATATACATCAATTTTTTGAGAATCAATGTAGTCTCCTCTTTCATCTGATCATTTTAAATAGCTAAGAATGATTTATAAATAATGCACTAAAGTATTATAATCTGTATTATTAATATATTATTTATAAATAGTAACATTGAAAGTCCTTAGAAACAATGCTCAAAAGTTAGCAACAAAATTCCCTCATTACCTTGCTTACTTTCTAAATTTGCTTAGTGAAATTTTTTAAACTAAGCAAAGACACAATTCTGACTACATTGGTATCAAATAATATGCATTCCAAGTCAGCGTATCTTAAATAATGCCTTTGTGTGTAACTCAACTCAACAGCTGAGTCAAATGAAGACAAGGTCTCTCTGGAGCAGGCTGCACTGCACCTCATTTACCTGGTCACCCCTTCCAACAAGATTCTTGGCCGTCTATAGTTCAGCCCAAATGCCATGTAGGGAACCTCCCAGGTCAAAATAGATCACAGAATACACAGACCCTCCCTGTTCTGTCAGCCTTGCTGAGAAAGCCTGCTCTCTGGGAACTCTGCATGCTGGCTGGCTGCAGCCAGCAGCCACGGGTGATGAAGGGCACAAGGAGATCTGACTTTCAGTGCTGAGCATCTGGGCTTAGTGGGATTACAAAGGAAGAAGGGATCAGCCAGATACATTTCAGGCCAGCAGACCCTTCTCATGTTTATAACAACATGTTTTCATAGTAACAGTTTATTTTGCTGAAAACATTTAAATAAAAACCCCCAGGGAGGCTTGAGAGGATAGTTTCACATTCCCTAGTCAAGCACCTGCCTGATTTTAATGTGCTACTATTTTTGTCTCTGAAAGCATATGCTCTCTCCCAGAAGACCTGAGCTGGTCACTGTGTATTCACCATCCACACAGCCTCTAAGAATAGAAGCAGGCAGAGGCTCTTTTGGCTATGCCTCTGAGCCCCTAGCAGCTAGAAAGCAAACTGACAGGCAAGAAAAACATTTTTCTCTGTGTTAACACACTGTCATTATGGTAGCTCACAGAGTTCTCTGCACTGACTTCAGAACATGTTCTCCTAGTTGAAAGGTCTTGCACAGGCTTTTTCCAATTGTCACAGTGTGACCAGTGCAGTCTCTGCCTGCTTCTAGGGAAGACCTGATTGGTTAAAACACTCCCAAGTCGCTCTCTTCTCCTTCTTCCTTCTAGCTGGAAATTCCAGTGTCTGGCTGGGAAAGACCCCACCTAT